TGTGTGTGTGTGTGTGTTGGTGAGTGTACGCATGTGTGTGTGTGTGTTTTGTGTGTGTGTGTGTGGGGAGGGAGGGTCAAGGGTTGCGAAGTGGGGTGAGGTGGATAATTGATGAGCTTTCAAATAACCATCAGCAGGTTTCGCCACGCGGTGCTACACATGAACACGTGAACATGTATTGAATACAAACACGCACACGCACGTTCACACACGCGCAGTGCATGCATATGCATGCATGAACACAAAACGGCACACCCTTCATGACGCGGGCGAGGCCAAAGTCGACGATGACGACGCTCATGTCCTCTGCGCGCACCATGCAGTTGGCCGACTTGAGGTCGCGGTGGAGAATGTTTTTGGAATGCACATACTCCATCCCTGACGCAAGATCGAGAGCCATTCGCGTGCTGGTGGGCGGTGGCGGTGATGACGATGAGCGAGGGGATGGCGATGGAGATCACGGAGGTAATGGAAGGTGCAACACGCAAAAGCGAGGGGTGCGCGCGTGCGTGTGGCATGAGAGAAAGGGACGCGTGTCAAGCGGCAGCTCACATTGTGGCGACTGCTGAGCAAGATTGTTCATGACAGAGAGACAGGCAGGTACGCACACGCACACACACACATACACACACAAGCACAAGCACACACACACACATACACAAGCCCGCACCGCAGGTCCCAGGGGAGGTCGCGGGTGTGGTCCTGGGCGAGACGATCAAGGGTACCGCCACTGACGTACTCGGTGACAAGATACAGCTTGCGGCCCTGGCAGAAAATGCCAATGTACTCTAACACGTTTGGGTGGGCGAGGGACTTGAGAATCTTCATCTCCTCGATAAACGCATCGCGCTGCTCGTGGTTGCTGTTGACCGCGCGCATGCCAGTAACGCGCACGTGTGTGTGTGTGTGTGTTTGTGTGTGTGTGTGTGTGTGTGTGTGTGTGTGTGTGTGTGAGTATGCGTGTTTGTGTGTGTACGTTTGTTCAGTTGCAGGTTTGAAGAAGGAGACCAGACATACAATAAAATAAACTTGGGAAACCAGACGAGCGCAGTGCGTTTCACACGCGTGTGTGCGTTGTTAGCAGGCGGCCGTATCAATGCTCACCGTTTCAACTCCTTCAAGACGATTGTGCGGTTTGCAGCGCGGTGATGTGCCTTGTACACGCGGCCAAAGAAGCCTGTCCCCATGCAGACAGCGTTAGCAGCGTTAGTAGCGTTAGCAGCGTCGCTGGGACTTGCAAGCACGAACACATACAGACATACAGGTAGACATCAACACAAATACACGCACACACACACAAACATACATCAACATGCACACACACACACGAACATACATCAACATCCACACGCACCTTCGCCGATGAGAGGGCCCCACTCAATATCGGTGATGCGGAGGTGCCGTGATGCAACAGCCACCATCATCTCCTCATCAAACTCTGCACAAAATAAAGTGAACTGCAGTGTGAGCAAAGCAATGTTGCACGTTGCAACGCACGCACACACACACACACACACACACACACACACACACACACACACACACACACACACACACACACACACACACACACACACACACACACACACACACACACACACACACACACACACCGCGATCTGGAAACGGCTGGAATCGCGTGCGAGGCCATGAGTGGCGCAGCATGCGACGGCCATCCTCACGCAATGCGACCGCTGTCGCCTCAAGCTGCTCTGTTGGCGGTAGCTTGTTAGGGGTTGGCGGAAGCTCCACACTACACGCACACGCATACGCACGCAAGGTGATATACAGAAGCTGTCAGATGCTTGCACTCGCGGAGACGGTGATGCCAGATGACGGATCATGACTCTCCACCATCCGCCACACCTTAATCACGTTCATCACCATCCATCACCATCGTGCAACGCCATTTCACTACCATCATCCCACAACAGCAATTCCATGCAGCTACGACCAACCTTGCGTCGAGCGACGCAGGGCGGCTCTTGGACGCCATGCAAGAAAGTCAATCGGCGTTGCCAAATGCCACGCAAAAGAGCTCACTCATCCACGGCGGGCAGTTATATCTCGATCTGATGTCACAGAAGAGGCGGTTCGTTTGAAAAAGGGAAGAAGCGAGTGTTTCGAAAGCCTGAACGCAATCATCCTGCCATTCGCGCATATGCACACACACACACACGAATGCCATGAGCAGCAAGATCCCACGCTCACGCGATCCGCGAATGTGAGGCCGAGATCAAAGGCGGCAAGGCCTCGTGCACATCCCCCACCGCCCACAAACAAACCCCCAGTGCACCACACACACACACACACACACACACACACACACACACACACACACACACACACACACACACACACACACACACACACACACACACACACACACACACACAGCCTTGCTTCCCACACCATCAAACGTCGTTCCGCCGTTGCTCATCGTCCTTCGTGTTGGCAAAAGTAAGTAATTATTCCTCTCTCCCATGATGATTCCATGCACAAATATTGTGCCCTGACGGCCTCGTGCATCCAAGCGTGTGTCAAACAATCAGCAACGCCCCCTTTCAGTTCGTCACATGCATCACACACTAGCCTCCCACATCACTACATCATTCCAAGCAAGCCAGCTGGACAAATCCAGCAGTGACAGCAACAGAGTGCTTCAGCGTGATGATGCCGCGGCGAACCTCCTCCTCCTCCTCCTCCTCCTCCTCCTCCTCGCGCTTGGTGGTGGTGTTGACCACCACGTGCACCCTACTGTTGGCTGTCTGGCAGTGGGACACGTGCAGCAGCGAGGTTGTGCTGGAGGAAGATGGCTCAGGCACCTTCCACATCAACACCACCGATTCCCAGCCCGTGTTTGTGAACGGCATCAACGTTGATGAGATGTTCCAGGCCATCTACCAAAACCAGCTCAGCATCCAACAGCAAGTCGCTCTCAACGACGCACAGGCGCTGCACATCAGCCAGCTGCAGGCGCGCTTGTGTGACTTGGCTGAGCCCGAGCCAAGTGTGAGCACCATCGATGCCTTCCCCCCAAACGCTGAGCCCGACCCCGGGGACGGTGATGTGATTGGGCCTGTAATTGGAACACCTCTTGTCAGGGACAACAGGTGGTCGGGCGGCGTGCTGGCTGACAATGGCCTCATCTACGGTATCCCATTGCACGCCAATGCACCTTTGATCCTGGACCCTGAGACTGGTACAGTCGACAACCCTTTGAGCGACAGTGCCGTATACAAGTGGAGCGGTGGGGTGCTGGGAAGCAACGGCCTCATCTACGGGTTCCCTTTCTTCGAGCCGTCGGTGCTCGTCATTGACCCAGCCACGAACGCGACAGGCACGATTCCATTGAACATGTCCACATCCTTCTCTGGCGATGAGGGCGATGGCATGTGGCAGAGCGGCATTCTGGCCTCCAACGGCCTGATCTTCGCGATCCCAGACATTGCAGGTGCCGTTCTTGTAATTGACCCCGCAACTAATGCCACCGACATGACGACCATGGCCGGGCTTGATGACGGCAGCTGGTTTGGTGCCGTGCAAGCGCCCAACGACCTCATCTACTCGGTGCCTTCCACAGCGTCGTCCGTGCTCATTATCAACCCTTTCTCCAAGACCACTGATACGACGAGCATCGTGGTGCGAAGAAATGGTGACACGGGAACATGGGCAGGCACTGTGCTAGCTGAGAACGGCCTCATCTATGGCATTCCCTCAACCGCCACAAAGGTGCTCGTGGTAAACCCTGGCACGAAGGAGATGAACATCATCTCCATTCCTGACGTCTCGACGGCAGCAAAGTGGCGTGGGGGCGTGCTCTCACCCACCGGGTTGATCGTTGGCATTCCACAGCACGCCTCGTCCGTGCTTCTTATTGACCCTGCGCTGGACACCGTGGACACCACCACACTCAGTGGGCTTTCGAGTGGTTCCTTTTACTGGAGTGGTGGTGTGCTGGCAAACAACGGCCGCATTTATGGCATCCCCACGCGCGCACGGACCATCCTCGTCATCCACCCACGGGGCCAGATGTGCTGAATGGCTGTGTGTGTGTGTGTGTGTGTGTGTGTGTGTGGTGGGACGAGTGGGTCGTCTACGAGAATGTAGGCTACGGATGGAGTGCTTGAGGTACGTATGCGGTGGTGTGTACTTTGCTTTCGATGGTGAGTCAATCAATACAGAACAACACAGCATCAGCCCAACAGTATCATCAGGAAGGAATGCATCAAGGAGAAAATTGAGAGCACAAACAGGCGAAGGGGCACTCAACATGAAAACTTGATTCACACAACACAACACACAACACACACACACACACACACACACCACAACAACAACAGGCAGACACGTGTGGTGGTCAGCCATAGCGGTTCATCTCGTTGCAGAGGGCGAGGCGGCGGATATTGCCGAGACAGCGGGCAGCAGCATCCTGCACACTCCGGTCTGTTGCGCCCACGAGGTCTGCAGGGGAAATAAACCGGTGTGGATGGTGGAGGTTTGGGGTGGGGTGGTGGGTGAGTGGATGGCGAGGGAGGAAGAATGTTCACGAATAAATAACCAACAGGGAGATTGAAACGTGGAAATACAAGTGCAGATACCGGCACACACACACACACATACACACACACACACAGGCACACAGTTACAGACACAGACATGGACGCACACACACGCACGCACACACACACACACACACGCACACACACACACACACACACACACACACACACACACAAGGCAGACACTCCGCCCTGCTCACCAAGGAGGGGCCGGACGACGCCTGCCTGGTGCATGGTGACGCAGTTCTCTGGGTCTCTGCTGAGCTGGTGCAGCGCGTGTGCGGTGGCGTGGCGCACAGCCGAGCTCTTTGACTTGAGGTAGCGCGCCAGCGGGGCAACAGCGCCCTCAGTGCCAAACGCAACGCAGTTGTTGCCCCATGTGCAGCAGTTGGCAATGGCCTCTGCAAGGTGCTCCCGCAACGTGTCGTTCGTGGTGCG